ACCAAATTAAATGATGGCACTTTTGTTCAGCTATTTTTTCTTTTGTTATTCACTTAAATTTAATTACACCTATTCATCAAGTAATAGTCAGAACTGGATCTGGATTCTGTTTTGATGAAAGAAAACAAAACTCGTGGAACGAGAGAGAAAATAATACTATATCAATATTAAGTGACACGTGTAATAATTTATGGCAAGTTACGAGGTACGTGTAAAAACCACAGAACCGGTTTGCCTTGAACAGTGGACGTACGTGTTGTGCCTTTCAAGATTATCTACCGACGTTACAGTCACAAGATTTAGTTTTTTAATAGTACAAAAAGTTGTCTAATCGATAAAAATTATAAAATATTGGGTTAATTTGGTTAATAACTAAAAAAATTAAAACATAAAAACTAACTAAAAATCTTAAAATTAATGGTTATAATTAATGCAATAATGCCACATAAAAAAGTTTGTATAGTTATTATATGGAAAAATTATATCTAGAGGCACTTCTCCAAACATAAGTTACAAACAAATGTAATTTGAAAAAAAGGTGGACTTTTGCACAAAATTCAAAAATTTTCGGACTAATTTATCTTTCTAAAGGAAGAAAACATCTGTTTATCTTTTAGATAATCTGAACCGTCCAAAATCATTTATATGGGTTTAGCATTTTTTAATCTGAACCGTCAATTTTCATTAGAGGAAATTTGGAAAAATATTTTTACAGGAATTTAAATTTTGAAAACTAAATTTTTTTTTTTTTTTGAAAACTACACTTATTCTTAACTAATTTTACTAAATTGTCCTTGTTAATAACCTTTAAATATCAATAAACAAATTAAAATTATAACAAAACACACGTTAATTAATGATTTATCCAATAAAAATTTACTTTTATTTTTCTTATAGAAAACAACAATTATCTATTCAAATCACTTTGATTTTTCTTTTTTAATTGATGAATTCTTAGTTTTATGTATTTATATTTGGATGGTCCATATGTTATATATATAATTAGTTTACTTAAATTAAACAAAGTGAATGGCTTAAATTAAACAAAATGAGTCTACTGCCCAGATTAAAATATATCTACTGTTAATAAATGTTTCTGATTTGATCTCAAACATCCATTGTAATTAAAATTAAATGGTTGTGATTTGTAGCAGTTTGTGTGACTGTGTTTTGTATATGGGAAACACGATAGATCTCCTCCGTTTCAATAAGCCACGCCTTTTAACCCAGAAAAACCTTCGATTTCGAATCGAGAACCAAGAACCCAACTCTAGATTCCACGAGATTTCACAATTTTTCAGATTTGTTCTCTAAAGCGTTCGCGGAAAACCCACAAATTTTCTCGATCGCCATAGCAGAGAATGATTGAAGCGACTCATGGGAGGAGAAGATGGGTTCGAAGGAAGATAATGAGACCAAAAGTGCCGGTTTTGGTTCTGTCTATAAAGCAAAGTGAGAACTGATCGTGATGATGATGAATCAGATGAGAATAAGTTGTTGGGTTCGTAAGCAATTTTGTGAGCCGCATAGATGAGTCGATGACTCTACAGGAGAAAATCGAATTCATCTTGACTTCTTCTATTGAAATTGTTGGGTTCGTAAGAAATTTGTGTACCATGTTCTTGATCGATTTGATTTATATTGAAGTTCATGGACATAACTAACGTGCACAAATATGTGAAAGATAAGGCACTACCACAACACATCTA